TTTTTAAATTATGTGTAATCTTAGGTGGGTTGTGTTGTAGAGTTAATACTTTATGAAAGTGTCCAGGCTGTCTGTGACTGACACACATGTTCTCAGTTATCTGGTTTCTGTCTTGGTTATGTGATAAGTCGCAGGTTCCATGTGTTCAGAGGATGACTCATTAGTCACAGCACAGTAATGTGTTGTTTCTCTTATTGTCACCCATAAGGTATCTCCTTCAGCCAAAAGGGAACGGCAACAAATCCAAGTCTGATGATTTAGGATCCTTGCGTTTGAAGCTGACCTACATAGAAGACACAGTGCTGCCATCTGCCTGCTACACGCCACTCTGCACCCTGCTGCTCAAATCCCAGATGTGAAGGTGAGACAGACGCTTTAAGTCGAAGCAAATCCTGATGAGAAAATTCCACACTGAGACGATGCAGAGATCGATATTGTTGTCTTTTCTCTTTTCACTTTTTTTTCTCACCCTTCTTCAGCCCATCTCAGCATCAGCAGCACACATCCTGGGGGACATTTGCAGAGAGCGATACGAGGTCGTTCTGCCGATGGTCCGACTGCTGCTCCACAACAATCGCTTCGTGCCTTTTGTCTCTGCTGTGGCAGCACTGGAGCTGGACAACACTCAGTGAGTACTCCTCTGGCACATACCTTTTTACACCAAGCCAAGTAGATACACCGGATAGAAACATGCAAACAGATGTTACTGCACTGCAGTCACGCTGTGTTTTCCCTAACAAACAGTTCAACTTTCTGGCTATGACTAATGCAATAAAACAGGAAGCAGCTCTAAAATACAATAGAGCTTCAAGAGTGAATGTGGTTTTAATTACTCGTCTTGACTCAGACAGTCTGATTCTGAAACTTCATAAAAATTCTAGTCACAAAATAAAGTCTAATTGGTGTCTGTGGAATATCTGTGTCCATACAGGGAGGCTAACACTATATTCCGTGGCAACTCGCTGGCAACGCGCTGCATCGATGACATGATGAAGATTGTGGGAAAGAATTACCTATCTGTCACCTTGAAGCCTGTAATAGATGAGGTATGAGTAAAAAGGAGACACACACACACACACACATCCTGTGTCGATGCCAGAATAGTCATGAATCACTGGGTTAGAATGGAAAAATCCATTTAAACATCTGCCCTTCAGCCTCAGTCTGCAGATGTGCAGATGTAATTGGAGGGTTTGGATAGGCGCAGGGTATTTTCCTTTAAACGGTTTTAAAACTGTAATTTTTTTTTTTTAATCCTGTCTGGCTTGTTGACACTGGTCTAGATGTACAGGTTGAAGGCCACTGTAATTACCACAGTTTCTTGCAACTGTATCTACAGAGTGTGCATTATTGTGTATTTGGTCTTTTCTTTTATCTGTGACTTACAATTGCTAGTTAATTTGAGTTCTTCGACATAAAGCAAAAAGACACAGCTGGTGTTGAAAATGCCTTCAGTCCCTCCTCTCACTCACCGTGTCCAGCTGGTGTCCCTCCAATTTCAAGAAAATCTGAATAAACGTGCAGCTCCACACAGCAGCAAATCTCAGTTCTTGTTCACTTGAAATTTAAAGATTTGGTTTGTACTAATTGTTCTTTGTTTGCTTGCTTGATTTTTTTTTTTTTTCCCCCGTATCTTTAACAGATTTGTGAATCCAACAAAACCTGTGAGATAGACCCTATTAAACTAAAGGAAGGTGACAATGTAGAGGTCAACAAGGTAAGTGCACCCATCTCACTAGATTTATCAGTCTTGTAACAGGATTAATTGAAGCTTTGCTTGTCGTAAAACTGCGAAAAAAGTGTTTATCCACTTTTTAGCTTCTGTTTAAAACATTTTAAAGTGATGCTAAGTTGTTGTGCGTTTTTTACTTTACCTGTGCAGGAAAACCTGCAGGGTTACGTCCAGAAAGTCTTCTCCTCCATCACCCAGTCAAGTTCTAACTGCCCACCACTAATGTGTGACGTCTTCAGGTCTCTGAGGCATTTGGCCTGCAAACGCTTTCCAGGTAAAACGTAGAGCCAGTGTTAAAAAGAAAAACTGCTGTGACAAAAGGTTATATGCACACCCACAGCAGGTGTGTAAATTGTGACGTAAATGTCATTATGCCGGGCTTTTAGCAGATTGCGATGTTGCTGCTGGCTAAATGCCTTAGTAGTCCACAGCAGTATATTAAACCAAATGATATTTTATATTTACATACACTCACCAGTCTTTTCTTCGCATACACCTTGATTTTACTGGGTTGGACCTTTGCTTTGCCTTATGAGCTAACTTAATTCTTCATGGCATAGATTCAGCAAGGTGCTCGATACATTCCTGAGGTTTTGGTCTATTTTGACAGTTTTGAGCTTTTCTCATATAAATATCTCTATTTTATACGCCATTTTTTTTTTTTTGCCGATTGAATTGAATTTGCTGGTTTCTCAGGTGTTTCTTTCTCCTCTCCACAGGCGACCCACATGTTCAGTACTCAGCCGTCAGCAGCTTTGTGTTTCGCGCTTTTTGCTGTCGCTGTTCTCTCTCCTCACTCCTTTCAACTGCGTTCCCATCATCCTGTAAGTACACGTCACCCCACTCTCAGCGCTAATGACCAGTGAGCATTTGCAGTTTACGTTCTCAGTCGGTTAACCTCGGTGCGTTGTACATTTTCTGTAATGCAGGATCCCGAGATTTCCCGGACGCTCACACTCATCTCAAAACCATTCAGACTCTCGGCAGCTGGGGTAGCTTGTCAAAAAAGCTGGTAAGATTTATATTGCTGAAATTCTAGTGTGAACTACGTGTTGTCCACTTTATAGTAATTGACAAACAGAGGCACTTTCCAAATGCATTTTTTTTTCCTGTTATGCTAATTAAACCCACTTTGTTTTTCTCTTTCTAGTCCAGTTTTAAAGAAACCTATATGTATGACTTCTTCAAATCATTCCAGGAAGAGAAGTGTATCGAAAAAGTTAAAAAGGTATTTTTTCCCCCCTCACATACTCACATAAAGGTCTATAAAGGATCATCATTTCTAATGGCTGTTATCATTTGTTTCCAGTTTCTGGATGAAATCTCCTCCAACGTCAGTAAGGAGTCCAGTGGGCTGGAAGACGCTGTCGTTCTCAAGGAGGGTGAGTGTTCAGTTCAAGTCTGGGCAGAACTGAGAACTCTCACTTGGTAATAAAGAAGCCTTGAGAGTAGGCATAAAACAACAAGTGAATTTTATGACACGATAACCGTTTGAGGGCGTTCACTATGTCCTGTTAGAAGACTCTAATTACATCATTTGAGCATAAAGATTACTCTGAAGTAATAAATTGTACTTATGTTTTTTTTGCCTTAAGTAAATCAGCTCAGATTTGAACCCTTAGCCTGTCTTTTATAGGGAAGTACAGAAACGTGCTCAGGGGAGAAAACCCCCTGGAATGAAAACGTTTAAGAAGAGTGGCTCAGACTGACCAACAGGGAGCTCTCCTACCACAAACATAAAGGTGAGACCAGTTTACTGTAATCTCATACTCGAATGTGATGAAAACTAATGAGACAAACACGTATGCACGGGTTACACGCAATGCTAAGTTCCCGATACTAGCACTAGATGGAGCTAAAGTAATTACTTGTATATTACTTATAAAATTAAGAGATTAAATGGACTGGTTCTTTTATATAGTGCATTTCTACTGAGTATTCAAAGCACTTTATACTTGCCTCATTCACCCATTCATA